ACAGAGAGGGGGTTGAGTGTTGCTCGTTATTTGTAAGTCTCTGAATCTTAGCAGCTTTCTTTTTCTTTTCTATAATTTTTACCGGGGAATCGAAATGAATTTTAGTTGATTGGTTGCGTCCATCGCGGTTCCCCCCTATTTGTTTTTCAAAAAAAAAAAAAAAAACACCATTGCAAGAACCTGTACGGTCTCTATTATTTTTCATTAACAGCCAGAGAGCTTTAATTCACCGAAACTAAAACAGATTCATAAAATGTACATGGTTCAGGGTATTCTGTACGTGCCTTTTATGTTGGGTGTGCCGCCTGATTAAAAGCGAGCGATCGGGTGAGTCGCCTTCGCTTAGTGCAAGAAGACTTTGTAAAACGCGTATATTTAATGAATCTTTCTGTAAAGAACGAGGCGGCCTAGAAAGCTTGAAAAATAGTTTTTGAAACGTCTTGCCAAATATGTTTTTATTTTGTTTGGGGATTGCTAAAATTGCGTTTCAACTAGACGCTGTAAAATTCGCAATTGAACTTATTCTTCGGATTCAAAACAATGACCAAAGTTCCGTCTGCACGTGCTCTTTTGGGTGAGTCGCCTGAAAAAGCAAGCGATCGGGTGTGTCGCCTTCGCTTAGTGCAAGGGAACTTGGTTTTTATTGGTTGTGGCTCGCAAGTCCGTTTTGAACGAAATAAATGCTTTCAGTCATAATTAATGAACATCATATAGGTGACCTTACAAGTTTGTATTATAAGAAAAATATAAGAGCCTTTTTACGCCGCGAACAGGATGAAATAGAAAACTTCACCGGCCTTTTCTCAAAAAAAGGAATAGTCCCGCTTTAAATTCTGCTCCCCAGAAAAAGCTACAATGAAAATTATTTAAATTTATAGTTTAAATTCAATCAAATTTATTTAAATCGCTGCACTTCGTTCATTTGTGGTAAATAAATGCATATTGATTCTGAGGTATCCCCGGTTAGATAATTTCTGCAAAACTCCTCTACACCGCCACAAGTTTTCCGAGTGGTGCGCTGTTTCGGAGTGGTTTTTATTTCACCAGGTTCTTTTCTTTAGTTGTGTTCGTCTCATCAGCTCAGCTTTATTATTTCTGTAGTGTCTGCTAAAATGATCCATTGAAAGATATGTCGAATAAAGCTTCAGTAGGAGGTCACGAAAGGAGATTCGCATTTCACCTCAAGTATGGTTTCAAGCTGTCAACGGTCTATGCTTGGCTGAATTTAAACAATGGCTTCCTGGTCAGATGGGGGACAAATTTTCCCCCATATTTCGGTCGCTAAGGCTTGCGGCTCGCCATGTAGGCTGCTTGAACTCACCTTGAAAGTAACTTTGATCTGTAAAAGTTTCGAATGCCGGCGTCGCCCAAAAACTCGATGATACAGACCTCGAAGAAACTTCGAACTGAAACTTTCTTTCATCTATGGCGCCGCTTTCAAAGTGGCGCGAAAGTTTGGCGCGAACTGCAGCAAGTGCCAGCGATCAACAGAACAGCAGCAGAGCATCAAATGTTTCAAGATCCACGGCAAAGACTTACTCCAAAACAACGACTTTCATATCACAAGTAGTATTTTTTTACTTTCAAGTGTTCTTGTTTTTTATTTCTTCTTAATTTTATTTTTCAATTCCATCGTTTATCGTTTCTTTATTGCCCGAATTTTTGGCGTTTTGCCCGAATATTTTCGAGACTGGGGGGGCTGCCGCCCCCCCCGCCCCCCCGGCTCGTACGCCTATGCTTTTATGTCCTTCAGGGATTCCCGCTATATCGTTTTCTGTTAGATACTTTGCGCTCGCTGTTGACGTAAAACCATTGCTTCGTAATTCACCAGCATATATTAATAAATCTTCATCCACTTCTCTGAGGAAGTCCTCGATACTTTTTCGGCTCTCCATTTCAGTGAAAAGATTTTCGCTTATTTTTCTCTGATTTCTTGACCGCGCTGACAGTGAACGGTCAAGAGAACAGAGTGAACCGCGAGAACACCGACTCTACCGAGGGAACTTCACATTTGGGCGGGAAAACTTCCAAGTTTGACACCTGAAACTCAGACGTTTGACGTCACTTAAAAACATGTTTTGAGCGCGTGCGTTCACGGGTAGATGCAATCGACGGTATTCAGGACGATCGAAGCACACGTGGGCTTTAGCTAAACCGTTAAAAAAATTTCCAGAATCACCTATACGGCCAGCCGGTTCTGACTTGTGCAGTGCTAGCTGTGGCGAGTGTTTGAATGAACATTAACACAGTTAAGCTCCAATATAATAAAGAATTTATTATGTTTATTTTTTATTTTAAAATGGTTTAACGCGCGGCATTTTGAGTACTCTGGGAAACGTTGTTCACTGAACGACTTAAAACAATCGGCACAGCGATTAAAATTACAAGAGAGACTACTAATAATCAATAAAAGAAGTAAAAATCGGTGAAACATATACAGAGACGACAATTTTCATTCAGGAAGACAAGTATTAAAGTGTCTCTAAAAATCCTGAGTCTT